GCACATTGACTTCCTCCAAATGACAGAAGACTGCCATTGATTTTCTAGCTTTATATGTAAGAGCTTCACCCACACAGATCGAGACTGACATTTTCAGTTCTAATTCCAAATCCTAGGGGTAAAAAAAAACTCACCTAGGTCCAGCTTGGATCAGATTAACTGGAGCAAAGAGACAGAATACCATTTAGATCCATTTGATGGGCTGCCAATCAATCATTGCCTACAAGCAATATCATTGTACTAATACATCAGTTCCAGTGGTTAAAAAAAAATGGGTAGAGCAGTTCTCACCAGAAAAGGTTTGGCCTAACTATTCCAGAGCTGTCCACTGTTACATGGACATCTGAGAATACATTGCAAGGAAGTAGATAGCTCTAGCTTCCCATTTGCCAGCAAAGACTGCCTATAGTCCTTGAGAGTTTTCTGTTAGTACTATCAATTCACTGTTAGAAATTTCAGGATGGTGGGATGGCAGGAGATGAGGGGGGAATGGTGGCACATGAAAGGGAAGGAGGGTGCATCAAGGAAGAATTGCCAACATGAAGATCTGGAACTTCCAGATCTTTTCATATGAAATCTTTTTGGTTCCCCCAGCTGCCTCTCTTCTCTCTTGCCTTACACCTCTTTCTAACATTTTCTCCCATCAGTTTTAAAATGAGGACTTTCTGTGTCAGGCATAAGACTTCTGTCCTCCATAGAAGCAGTGCTCTACTTTAAGCAAAAGTTTGAAGCAAGGCAAAGTTTCTCTCTTTCAGAAAAGTACTTTCCCATATCCTCCTGTTCTTTTTCTTAGAATATCAAAATCTGAGGGTTGGAGGAGACCAACTTGGAGTGCCAGCAAGTCCATCTGTTACTATGTATAGCCCAGGGCTGGCACCCATGCCCAGGGGCCATCCAGACTGCTTGACCACATACCACAAAGGGGCACTCACCACTCTTCAGGAAAGCCCAGACTACCTGCAGATAATTCTGTCTGTTAGGAGAGTACTTCCTCATAGTAAGCTCCTCTTAGGACAAAAATGTGTCTTTCCTTGTTGTTTGCACCTGTTGGTCCAAGTCCCACCACCTGGAAACAAACAAACAAGTCTAATCTCTTTCTGACGTGCTCACTTGCCAAGAGATCCATCACATTATGTTTTTCCCTCTGATCTTTCTTCTTCAGGCTGAGCAACTATTCTCCCTCTAACGGTTCTCTGTCATATGGGATTTCAAGTACCTTTATTAACTAGGAAATTCTGATCTAGAAGCTTTAATTACTTAAATGTTTTTAATGTCACCCCCTCCATTAACCAGGCATAATATTCCAGATGTGGAAAAATCAGCACAGAAAGAACTAATAATGTCTTTCAATATCAATGTAGAACTTCATGAAAATCACATTTATCTTTTAAGAAGATTAAACCTGTGCTCAGTCACTCTCATGCTAAAAGTTATATAATAATTAATTTATAATGAAATTTAAATGTTGATGAATAGCAAATGGCATTTAAATTTTACAAGTGAATTTGAGGGATCAGTAGTTGAAATTAGCATGAAAGCAGGTAGGGGGAATTTGTGAGCTCCTGTAGTTCTTCAAATCACATGTTTGCTTTACTTCTTATTCATAATGCTAGTACTATCCATTAAGTGAAAAATAGTAGTCAGAGTAAACCCATATCAGGGGATCATTTGATTCCTTTCTTCCTCTTCATGAAATTCACATACTTAACAAACATTTATGTTCTGCTTATACACACATAGACAGCCTGGGGTAAGCACTCTGATGCACACTCAGCCCTCAAAAAGCTAAGTTTAAAAGCTGGAGGACAAGTCTTTGCTCCCCTCACTGAAGAGGATTGAGTTAATTAAGGAAGAACTTGGTCACCATGTTGGACTGGGTGGCACAGTGAGTTAGTCTGAATAAACTCTTAACTTTCTTGCCCCAGAAGCACAGCTAGAAGCAGAACCTAACTTGAAGAAATAGGAGTGAAGCTTGAAGGGTCAGTCAAAGAATCTCCAGCCCCATGTAAAATGGACATCCTACCATTGGGACACACTGAGTCCTGCCTTTATCTGTAGTCATGCATGGGTTCATCAGGGAAATGGATTATCTCAGAAAATAATGCAGAATAGTCTTTTCTATTTATGTATTTCCAGGTTTCAAATGAGGGTGTGATATATCTACATCTATATTTATATCTATATCTATACCTATATCTATATCATCTATATATATATCTATACACACATACACAGAAAGCCCAGTCTACCTACAGATAATTCTATATAAAGATAATATATATTACAGATAATATATATAGAGATTCTAGATCAGACAAATTTAAAACTTTGAATTATAAAATCTAATATGAAATAAGTGATGATGTATTATAATCTCGTCATAAACATATCTACTAATGTTTTTTTCTAAAAACATCAGAATATGTGACAAGTTTATCAACTATGGCAACAATAGCTGTCCCAGGCCCTGTGAAACTGCATATCAGCAAGGGAGTTTGGCATTTCTTCTGTCAGCATTGTATGTCCCTGACCTACTTCTTTCTCCATGAAGGAAGTTAAAAAAATATGACAAATCAGAACATACCCAGGAACCCAGGTTCCATAGCCATACATCTTGTTAGTTCCCTCGTGTTAGTAAAGCTAAAATTGAGATTTCATCAACTTGCTAGCCTCAGAAAGTTTCAGTCTAGTGGGCTTAGGTGTTACCCTAACCTCATTTGGTTACCATAAGGGAGGAAATGCAAGACTGTAGACAGCTTGAAGCTACCTACCACACAACTGAGAAAATAAATTCAAGATCCTTAAATTGAAGATTGTCAACTTTAAGGCACAACTCATGGTTGTATTTAGCAACTTAAACTAAGGGATTCCAGTCTCAGTATTATTTATTCTTCTTCTGAATAATGCTAATAAGCATAGTATTCATAATCTCTCTATTTTAAAAATATATTTTATCAATTATGCTATTACAGCTGTCCCATGTGCCCTCTTTGTTCTCCTCTACCTCGTACCCCCTCCCACTTGCATTCAACCCGCCCTTAGTTAATGTCTGTGGGTCACACATATAAGTTCTTTGGCTTCTAGATTTCCAATACTATTCTTAACTTCCCTCTGCATATTTTGTACCTACCAATTATACTTCTTATTCCCTGTACCTTATCCCCTCATTCTCCCCCTGCCAATAACCCTCCACGTGATCTCCATTTCTGTGGTTCTGTTCCTGTTCTAGTTGTTTGCTTGGTTTGTTTTTGTTTTTGTTTCAGGTGTAGTTGTTAATAATTGTGAGTTTGCTGTCATTTTACTTTACATGTTTTTTATCTTCTTTTTCTTAGATAAGTCCCTTTAACATTTCATAAAATAAAGGCTTGGTGATGATGAACTCCTTTAACTTGACCTTATCTGAGAAGCACTTTATCTGCCCTTCCACTCTAAATGAAAGCTTTGCTGGGTAGCGGAATCTTGGATGTAGGTCCTTGCCTTTCATGACTTGGAATACTTCTTTCCAGCCCCTTCTTGCCTGTAAGGTCTCTTTTGAGAAATCAGCTGACAGTCTGATGGGAAATCCTTTGTAGGTAACTGTCTCCTTTTCTCTTTCTGCTTCTAGGATTCTCTCCTTCATTTTAATCTTAGGTAATGTAATTATGATGTGTCTAGGTGTGTTCCTCCTTGGGTCCAACTTCTTTGGGACTCTCTGAGCTTCCTGGACTTCCTGGAAGTCTATTTCCTTTGCAAAATTGGGGAAGTTCTCCTTCATTACAATTTCAAATAAGTTTTCAATTTCTTGGTCTCCCTCTTCTCCTTCTGGCACCCCTATGATTCAGATGTTGGGATTTTTAAAGTTGTCCCATAGGTTCCTAAGCCTTTCCTCATATTTTTGAATTCTTTCTTTTCTGGTTGAATGTTTACTTCTTCCTTCTGGTCCAAACTATTGATCTGAGTTCTGGTTTCCTTTCTGTCACTGTTGGTTCCTTGTGCATTTTCCTTTAATTCACTTTGCATAGCCTTCACTTTTTCCTCTCTTTTGTGACTGTACTTAACCAGTGCTGTGAGCATCCTGATTACCAGTGTTTTGAACTGTGCATCCGATGGGTTGGCTATCTCTTTGTTGCTTAGTTGTATTTTTTTCTGGAACTTTGATCTGTTCTTTCATTTGGGCTAATTTTTTTTTGGTCTCCACATGCCTGTTACACAGTAAGGGGTGGAGCCTTAGGTATTCATCAGGGTGGGGCAACCCACAGTGCTGCATTGTGATGCTGTACATTGGGGAGGAGCCCAAAAGGAAACAATGACACTTGCTGGGCTCTTGGCAGCCTTCAGTCACTTTCTCTGTTACCCACAAGCAAATTGGGCTCTTCTGGTGCTGATTCTTGGGTGGGTGGTTTTGTGTATGTTCTAGGACCCTGTGAATCTCTCCACTGAACTCTCCTGTGAGACTGGGAGTTTCTCTTGCCACCACAACCCCAACAGGTTTTTTTAGTCAGATGTTTTGAGGCTTTATTTCCTAGTGCTGGAACCCTGGGTTGTGCATTCTGTCTCACTCCCAAGTTGTTCCTCCTGGTTTATCCACATGCAATGTGGGACCACCTGCTCCATCAGTCACCACCTCACCTGGTCCTCCAGCCACCACCTTACCTCTGGCCCTCTCCACCTTGGCTGCCCATCTCTGCCCCTCCAACCTATCTGGATGAATCTTTCATCTTTAAGTCCTTGGTTGTTAGACTTCTGTACAATTAGATTTTCTGACAGTTCTGGTTGTTTTTTGTTTTTAAACTTATTGTTGTCCTTCTTTTGGTTGTGGGAGGAGATACAGTGTACCTCGCTATGCCTCCATCTTCCATAATCACTCTACTTTAGAATTAAAACAAAGAACTTCAAAATTGGTGTGCTACATTGAATAATTGGGAGTACTTTAAGATTAGTTGCTTTTTCTATAAACAAAAGCAGAATTACCCATTTTTTTACTTCCCTTTCTTAAATAAAAGATTTTATTTCTCCAACAGGCTGTTTGGTTTTTACAAGGGAATTCTACCACCCATATTGGCTGAAACACCAAAAAGAGCAGTGAAGGTAAGCAATGTATGAGATCTGTCTGGAAGGTATACAGCCATGTAATATAAAAAATAGAGACATTTATTAAAGAAGATACAAGACACATTGTACATAGAACAATGACGTCTGAGTTCCCTTCAAAGTAGGCACCTTGGTACCCCACCCAGTTCTCCCAGTTGCCATCAGCTACCCCATCATATTTTCCTGAATCTTATTGACAGTCTGAATCATCCCTTGCAAAGGAGACTTTAGTTTTGGGAAAAGCCAAAAGTCACAGCTAAATCCAGGCTGTAGGGGAACTGAATCACCTGGGTGATTTGATGTTTCACCAAAATGCTTTGCATGAGATGTGATGCATGAGCAGGCATGCTGTCATGATAAAGCTGCCAATCACCACTTGCCCATAGCTGCAGCTTTCTGAAGCATCCAAATAGTTTCTGCAGAGGAATGTACAAGCTTAACACAAAATTTGATGCAGATCATTTTTCTACTCTCACAGTCATTTTGAATGTGAAGGTCACACAGTACATATGCTCACTAAACAGCATCTACCACCTCCACTGAGTAGTATAGTGAAGTCACCATTGTTCACGCATGCGCATTCCAGTCCACTCTCCTTGGCTGCCAGGTTACATTGATGTTGTGGAAAGTGTTCTCTTTATATTAACAATGGCTGGACTTTTTCTGGACAGACCTCATATGCTTTCCAACCAGGTGAAAATACACTACAGAGACAACTGCGGCATTAGGACATCCAACACTAATCTATAGGACATGAATGTGAATTAAACATAAGATTTTTATTGCAGAAATTATAGCATAACTTTTATTCTAATTACATTTGATCAATCTCTCCAATATTGGTTTGTAGATTACTTTTTCAGGTGAAGGCACTCCCTTCTAATGGGGAAATTAAATAAAGAGTACAATGGTGAATGAAATTCACTAGTCGGAACATAGTAGCCACAAAATAGCTTGGACTTTTTCTCAAAGCTATTCATAAATTTTCCTTTAGAGCAATAATTACTAAAGAAAGAGAGAAGGAAAAGCGAGGAGAGGAGACAGGTGGGAAAACCTTTCTCTCTAAATCATTCCTATTTTATGAACAGAGCAGACTAATACACTATATTTCTTTGACATGATTCTCATATAACTTATTATTTGGCATGTTTACTTCATTCCCCCTACCTCCTTATCTCCTCTGTTAAATTTTTTTATTCTGGTTTTTACAAAATTATTACTTCCATTATCCTGATTTCCATCTCCTTAACTGCATAGCTATGGAGTTCATGTACCACTTACTGGCTCAGTATCTGGCCAGGAACACAAGGATCTAGCAGGACTTCCATGAAAGAAAGAACTAAATCTCATCACTTTTTTATGTGTTTTCTCAGACAAGAGTCCTGATCACAGTGACTCTAGCTGGCACTGACCCCCACACCCACACCACTGACAGCAGTAAATATGGCTTTGTCTTTCCATGTTAAAGATTACATAAACTTAGACTGAAAGACTTCCTTTCCAATTAATGGCAAAGCTTTTTTTCACATACATTGCTTACTTCATATTCCTGATATTCCTGAAAGGTAAGAAGGATACTTTTGCTCAGCAAGTTAAGAGGGTGGCTGGGTTAAAATTTATGATAAAATAACCACTTATAAACACAAACATGAAACTTTTACATTATGTTAAAGTAGTAATATTTTTACAATGGTAATTTAACAGAACTTAATTCAGGTCTCGATTCAGAAAGCAAAGCTTTAAAACACACTTTTATTAATTCATTCTCTTTTTTGCCATAGTTTTGGTGATTATGCATTATTACTTCAATACAAATTTCATTATAAGGATCTGAATCTCAGTAGAGAATCTGGAAAAAGTTCACCAAAGTACACACGAGGGCTGAATTGAATTATGACATGGCTTCACTTGATAAAAGATTGCCCAAGTAAACAAACAGAGCAGAGTTCCTGTTCAAACAGAAAGTCATTTTGTCTCCGTAGAATAATATATTCATTTGTTCAGTGTTTTACGTGTATAAATAAAGTAAATTGTAATTAAAGTTTCTCCTGGAATATTTTTCCTTAATACTATACATTGGAGACAATTTAAACTTTAGGAGGATTAAGGTTTATCAATGTTGAACAGTCTTTTACTGAAGAAAAAAAAGAAATGTTGGGGTTTGCAAAGCTGAGTTAGTCTCTAGTTAAAAAAAAAAAAAAAAGCAACTCTCCCTGTCAGTACAATGGTTAACAGATGAACTTTTGGGCAACTGGATATGGTATATGTGTCCCAGACATCTTGTTTCAAGTAGTTTTTACCTTAAAATTATTGAGCCATATGGTAAGTACGTTGGCTTTTTAAGTATAACTTGGAGTTAAAAGTGTATCTTTGCCAGATGGATAGCACTACTTTTTCAACACAATGTATGAAAATATTCATTTTATAGATATTTATCTTAGGATTTGTGAGGAAAGTGATCATCTGATAGTAACAATTTCATACATCATAAACTGCTTCATTGTATGTCATCAAAGTTTACTTCAGAAAAAATATTCAGAAACTATATATGTGTGTGCATATGCACGCATACACATTTACAGATATATATGCTCTATGAATTCTTTACACATACACAGATATAGATCGTCCTTAGAACTGACACTTCAGTTATGAACACTACTATAATCAGAAACAGATAATGTCAAGGTTTTCCTGTTCTTGATTTTTTGAAATAAGATTCATCATGAAAATAATAAGAATCATTGATGCTGAATAAATGAAACTTCCTCTTTTACAAATCAAGACAGTTAGTACTGCAGTTAGCAAAAGGAAATGAAGACCTCAGAAAGAGACTGACTGGTTCCTCGGAAATGGTTCCAGGGCCCAGAGTCCAACCTTGAGCGCCACAGTTCCAGAAACACCATTTTTCCATGATCAGACTCTCAAGGACTGCCTATTGCTAAGCAAACTGGTGAGATTATAAATAGTGAAGGCTATTTGTTCACCACTATCACTATGCCTGTCATAGTGTCTACATATAGTAGATGTTCAGCTGATATTACTGGAGTAAATGGAATATATCTAGAGAGAGAAACAGAAAGAAAATTTATTGGTTCCTAACAAGAGACATTCCTATCCTGTTCTCAGAAATTCCCACATCTACTATTCAGAATTTCTGGAAGGCCCAGACTTCCATTTCCAGCCAAAATGGAGTAACAGGGACCAGATTTACTCTCTTGCCTGAAACAGCAACAATAAAAAATGAACAAAATATGAAACCACAATTTTCAAGACACAGGACATCAGACAAGAAAGGATAGATAGACGAGAAACAAAGGAGATGACCTGTATGGACTGCCCCACCTTACTGCCTTGAAAGGGTTGCCAGGCCCAGGGGCAGGCAAGGGAAATACAGGCAGAGTCCCATGGATTCCCTGGATTGAGAATGAGCTGGAGGGCAAGGCAGCTTGAGTTCAGTGGACAAAGTGCCAGAGAAGAGAGAGCTGCACAGAGCAAGAACTCCTAAGATCTGCAGAGAGACCCCTTAAGTATTCAGCAGAGAACTGACCAGTGCATACATGTAAGGAAACTAGCAGGACCTGAGAAAGAGCCATCCAAGGAATTAGAGGGAACAGTGCTCTACACGAGGTTGAGAATAGAAGTCTTCCCATAAGACTATCAGTTGATTTATCAAAAGAAATCTTGCAGGTAAGAAGGGCCTGGAAAGAAATATTTGAAGACATGAAAAGGACCTACATCCAAGATTGCTCTATCCACCAAAGTTTTCATTTAGAATGGAAGGGCAGGTAAAAAAAATGCTTCTCAGATAAGGTCAAGTTAAAGGAGTTCATCATGACCAAGCTCTTATTATATGAAATGTTAAAGGGACTTATCTAAGAAAAAGAAAAAGATTAAAAATATGAACAGTAAAATCATCAGTAAAATATGAACCTAAAAAAAAAATTGCCCTGGCTGGTGTGGCTGAGTGGTTGAGTGCCGGCCTATGAATCAAAGGGTCACAGGTTTGATTCCTAGTCTGGGACACATGCCTGGGTTGCAGGTCAGGTCCCCAGCGGGGGTCATGTGAGAGGCAACCACACATTGATGTTTCTCTCCTTCCCTTCCCCTCTTTAAAAAGTAAATAAATAAAATCTTTAAAAAACAAACAAACCACCCCTCCCCCCCCCAAAAAAAAGAAACAAAGCAAACAACTAGAACAGGAACAGAACCACAGAAATGGAGGGTATCAGCAGGGAGAGGGAAGGGGGAGAATGGGGAAAAAGGTTCAAGGAATAAGAATCATAAATGGTAAGAATAGTATAGGAAATGGAGAAGCCAAAGAACTTACATATGTGACCCATGGACATGAACTAAGGGGATGTTGGTGGGAGGGGTTGCAGGGTGGAGGGGAATAAAGGGGAGAAAAAAATGGGACTGCTATAATAGCATAATCAATAAAATAGACTTCAGAAGAAGGGAGAGAGGAAGGAAGGGAGGGAGGGAAGGAGGAAGGAAGGAAGGAAGGAAGGAAGGAAGGAAGGAAGGAAGGAAGGAAGGAAGGAAGGAAGGAAGGAAGGAAGGACCTGTTCCAACCAACCAAACCAGAAGGCTTCAGAATGCAAAGGGCACTGTGAGGAGGACTCAGAAACATTTGCCTCCATAGTAATGCAATGACAGAAAGTCAGAAAAGAAAAAAAAAAAAACCACATCTTCCCACCGGAAGGGAACAAGGCAGGGAGGCTTTTGTAAAGTCTACCATCTCCCAGAACTTCCCTTAACTCAGTGAGGACCACATAGAGCAGTGTTTCTAAAATGTGTGTCATGAAATCAGTTTAGTGAGTCACTAGATGTAGTGGGTCATGACAAGAAATGTTTTTAATAAAGTAGGATAGGATCAGAATTACACACAGTAAAGGGTACATATTGTTTTATAGCCATGTTTTGTTTCAGTTGTAAATGCACACTGTGTGCATTTATGTGCATACATGCGCCTGTATTGGTCAAGTATTTTTTATGTAGATTGTGGTTGAAAAGGTTTGAAATCTGCCTTGAGGGACACTGGGCTTCCAGGGTCAGGGAAGGCAAGAAGACCTCAGCAGCAAGAGAACTCCAAGGCAGAGAATGTCTACCCAAACCACTAACAGTCATGGCTTAGCTGTGGTTAAGCGTAGTAAGTACCATGGTAAAGTGCATGCACAGGCCTTGGTGTTAGACTTTGGGGGGAATCTGAACCCTTCAATTCACTAGCTACAGGACATATACCTATAAAATGGGAATCACGGCTGTGTTGTAACTGTGACCTGATGATGTTTTATGAATTAAATGCAGGAGAAAACGCTAAGGTCTTAGCAGGTTTCTTGGACGATAGCAAGCTCTCCTGAGTGATACAAATAACTAAGGCATTTATGGTTCCTTTAGTAGCCAAAGTGAAGTCAGGGAATGGAAACTAAAATATTCTGAAAGTCTCCTATGTGCCAAACATGTCAGGAAATCTTACTCGAATGCTCTTATTTAAGGAATTCGCTAAAACTTAAGTTTTGTGTTCTGGAGGATTAGAAAGGCCAGGCAACTCACCCATGCTTTCACAGCTAAGTAGTATAGCCAGGAGTCAGACCCACAACTGCCCCTGTCAAAATACCAGCAAGGTCATTGTCAAAAACAGTGATGACGATGAGCTTAAAAAGGAAGAAAAGATAAATTATCTTTAAAGCTTAAAACTACAATGCATTTCCATCCACAGTTAATGGTTTCTAGTGCATCTCTCCTCAAAACAGTGGTGGCCCCTGGTGGTTCTGTTGTAACCCCAGGATACAGTCTGAGGGTCATCACCACCCTCTGGAATGTTGCATCAAGAAGGCAGGGGTTCTCTTTGTTTACTGCTGCGTCCCCCGTGCCTCTCAGAGCACAGGGGGCATCCAATAAAATATTTGTTGAATGAGTAAATGAATGAATCTCATTTCTAGAAAAGTCTACAACTATAGTTAAGCTAAAGAAGCATGGCACAAAGTAGTTCATGGGTCTTTAGAAGAACAAAAGTCTATCTGGTGATGTAATGACTCTTGGGATGCCCAAAGACTCATTCAAGGTGTGTCTACACCACAGAACTACCTTTTTCTAACAGCAGAGTATTAATTGGCCCCCAAATGTACATTTTTTTTCTTGCTATATTTTACTGGATTAAAAAGTAATAGAGTAGAAGACGTGTGTGATCACAAAATACCAGGGCCATTTCTCTGGTCTTGAGAAACAGGTTAGCAGAACCTAAGAGAATGTCTCATCAGAGCTGCTTGTGGCTTCCTAACAGAGTACCCAGGAGCAAAACATCATGTTCAAGCAACATTGTTGCCCAAAGTGTTGGAGAAAAAATGCTTTTGGGGTATGTTATACAAAGTGATTGATTAGATTTACCTTCCTAGAAACTCATTTTCAGGAAAATTATATTAAACATCATCTACTGAAGCCCGACAAAATCTTCATTATCACCGTATTTTAAAGGAAGGACTAAGCAGCTCTCCTCTGCTCAGGTGGGGGACAGTGTGCCTTTAAGCAGGGATGGACCAGATGACCTCATTGTGTCCTTTCCTCGTTTATGATGACATCTTCATTGTTGCTGAGTGTTTGGATATTTCATGGAACAGTAGAGACACGGTGATAAAAATGAAAGTTAAAGCTGAGAAACGGATGTCTTTTACAAGTCAGTTAGATAATTGAGCATTCACTGGGAAAGCAATTCATAGACAAAACAGAGGAGACCAAAGATTTCAGGTCTCTGTGCCTATAATGTTGAATCACTGCCATAAAAAAAGAAGTCTATTGATGTCTGGGGAAACTGGAAATGGTCATGGTAAATGGAAGCTGTATGGTTCATTTACTGCTATAAAGGATTCCATCAGCTCTTCTGTAGGTCATTATAGCTGCATTTGAAAATGTGAATGTTAAAGTAAGAACCAATAGCAACTACCCGAGACAAGATTAAGAACTGTGTTCAATGGTTTATCATTTTTTAAATGCTGATTAGTATAATGATTTACTAAAGAAATTTGAGTCAATTAAAGGGTTTGTTGCAGGAAATTGTTATAACTCTCTGGGTTTGGTTTTGTTTCACAGTTTTTCACCTTTGAGCAGTATAAGAAATTGCTAGGATCTGTGTCACTGTCACCAGCATTGGTAAGTGAGAATATTTATTATACTTAAGTGAGTGTGTTATTTCATAAAGCAAAATCTGGAGACAAAAAGCCTTTTGATTCCCCAAGCCCAACTACTGAAATATGAATTCAAGCTATTCAATGTTCAGCTACTTGTTGAAAGCCATCTTCCTAATAACTCACAATCTGGCTATTTTATAGCAGCCAGTGATGAATTTATGATAATAATGATATGTGTAGAAAGGCTCAGATGAGATATGGTCAAGAATGTAAAATAAAGAATATATTTGTCACAGACTTTTTAAAAGCGAAAACATGCATGTTTACATGCTGCACCTATCTGTGTGAAAGTCAGCATGCCTAAAATTATTTCCTAGCAGGTCACTTTTCCAGCTCTTACTTAAGCTGTAGTAAATAATAAATAATAGGACTGCAGGGTGTTCTGTGGTCAGAGATGGACTGAAGAACGATCCTTTTATAGTCAGGGAGAATAATGATCATACAATGACACAGATCAACTATTACATGAAAATCACTTGCTGATTTGAATATTTTCCAATGCCACTTCTTTCCTTCTGAGTGACTTTGCCGCTTTTCACAAAATGACTTAAATTATATTGACCAATTGGGTTCTACAAATATGTGCTTACAATGGGAGCTCCAGGGAGAGCAAATGCACTGATTTCTCCCTTCAAATCTTTAAAACAAAACAAAATAAAATCTCACTGGCTTTCCTATTGAAAATTGCCCCTGTTTTCCTGGTGAAGTGTACCTCAAAACTTAACCAAAAAGGTAGTGTTCTGAGCTTCAATTCTTTAATTACTTTACTTGTAAAGGTTCATTTCAGAACATTTACTCTGCCAAGAAGACTGTCCAAGAAATATCTGTTATTTAAAAAGTCATGCATGTCCCTTTTATAGGAAGGATTCTATTAAGAAAACTAATAGTCCGGCTTAATTTTATGACAAAGAAACCTCTTGTCCAGCCTCCTACCTAAAAAGGTGGATCCAAGGTGTGGCCTCACATAAAAGAAGTGGCAGCATGAGCCCTGAGTTATTTTTTAATTCCTCGGTATCTCCCTGTTATGTCATTCTTAACTTTGAAAATATCTTGTTAAAAAGAGAATTAAAAACCTTTCTAGCAAAAGACAATAAAATACAGCCTCCAGAGGGCCAGCTGGCTGTTCCTGTGCAAAGCATTGGTGCCACGTGAGAAATGCAGTTCTTTTGGCTCTCTTGGGATTTGAAACAAAAAAGCATTTGGCCACTCCAGCCACCATAACTGAATGCATGCAAACTGTATACAGTTTTCCCCTTCTCTTGAACTCATTTATTCCAGGTTTTTTTGTGTTCTTTTTTTGGTACAGCTAGACACTTAAACAGCCATTAAATGTCCCCTGGTGCTCTCACATGAAAAGCCTAGGAGGCTGGGAACCCGACAGTTACTGCTGGTCTCTGGAACAGTCTAAGTAATATGATCTGCTGATAGCTGATCAATTCTTTTGACAAGGGACTGCTGAACGCTATTTCTGACAGCAAATGTAGCTGAGTTTATAGAACAGAAAAGTGAATTACTTGGAAGATTGTATGTAGTAATAAAAACCTGAACATCTGGATTTTAGCTTTTTCAGTCAGAAAAGTTGGGGACTAGTATTTTTTTTCCTACTTTTGGCTTCCATGATGGAAGTCTGAGATACATGAATAAAATATTTGGTCCGTTACCCTATACAAAGATGTTTAAAATTGTAATGAAGGGGCATGAAAGGAAAACATCATTAGTCACTCTCTCTCTCCTGGAATCTCTGTCCAAAGCCATTCTTCCTGTCCATCTGTATGTGCAATAGTAAGAATGGTTTCTGTGTAGCACTTTTCAAAGGGCTTTCACACCTGATTTTGACCCTCAGATAACCTTATGAGGTAGGGATGTTAGATATTGTTTCCATTTTACAGATGAGAAAACTGTGGCTTATAAAAGATTCAGTGACTTAAGACACAGAGCTGCAGCTAGTACATGTGGTGTCTTTATGTGAAGTGTGAAAAGGCACCCCTTTCTTCTGACTGATGCCTCTCCAGGGCTCCAGCTCAGCAAGAGGGGTGCAGGCTGGACTTCAGGCTCCACACACACCATTGTGCACAAACTAATGTACATGCCAGCTCTGGTGTATATCAGCCAGTACGTGGCAGAACTGAGACTTAAACCCAGACCTCCTGGCTCTGGACTTTCCTCTGCTGCTAAGGCCGTGGAACATCCTTTTTCCCTTTCTCTTTTAGTTTCCTACTTTGAAGAAATTAAAGACTCCTAATAAGAGTTATCTGTGCTTTTTCTCCTCTTAGTTGTACATAGTACTACCTCTTCTTCTAGAATTAAAGCTTCAGCATTAAAGAATGATTTTTTTCACATCTGTTTTGCAGGTTTAAGGCTTTGTTTAATTTTATTTTCATTCTCTGTCTCTCTTTGTCTCTGTCTCTGTCAGTCTCTGTCTCTTGTCTCTCTCTCTCTCTAGTGTGTTTTATCATTGTGGTTATTTTGATAAGGATTTTCTGAAAAAAACTTTAAGTGTTCTACTTAGGGAAAAATTCTAGAAAGTTGTTCTTTCCTACTGCAGAAATTCTTAAAGGAGAGCAAATAATATTCTTGATTTTAGCTGAGGCCTTCAGAACAATCTAGTCATTTCTTCTCATTCCTTGGCTTCTAGGTCCAGAAGAATAGGACAATTATCAGTTTTTTAAAAATATTCAGAAAGACTGAATAAAAATATTATTTTTTTGTTTGATAATAGTCTAAAATAGTGAATCTAAGAATACAGCTATAAGTTTAAATGTGTTCAGCTATACTGTTTGGGTACCTGAAATTTTGCTGTTTATGAACACTATTTGTGGTTCTGTTCCTTGAATTCTTTAATCTGCTCAATAAATGTATTTAAGTAGATGTTTTAAAATGAAGCTCTCCGTTTACAGGTTAAACTCTCTTTTAATTGTTACATGTGCAGATGTTTTAGTATTCACCTTAAATCAGTAAAACAACTTTTCTTTTTATGAGTGGAAAAAGTCATTGTTGATGGGGCTTTGACATTTTATTTTGAATTGTTAGGTTGTGGTTTGCGGCTTCTGTAATTTCTTCTTCATGAATTGTCAGCATCTAATCAAGAACTAAGACTGTTTAGTAATGGTATATGGTGCATTTACATAAGTTTCTCCATTCTCATCATAACATTCAGCTACATAGTGTTATGAGTAAGATGCTTTACCCAGTGCACATGATAATTTGCTTTAAAGTATTGATTGATTTAATTTTTCTAGACATTTGCCATTGCTGGACTGGGATCTGGACTAACAGAAGCCATCGTGGTTAACCCTTTTGAGGTAGTAAAAGTTGGCTTGCAAGCCAATCGGAACAAATTGGCAGAGGTAATGATTTAAGGTTTTCCTATTGTTCAGAGACTGTAAAAACAAACATTTTAAGTGTGTATAAAAAAGTTTGAACCCAGCTCATATTCACTTGCTAAAGTCATAGAAAATTATTGGTAGAGAAGTAGCATAGGAAAAGTCAAATTTCTCCCACAAGGAAAATACTAACAAAAACGCATTCAAGTCTGAGGGACAAACACGTTTACACACTTTTATTTTAGAGTTCTAATGTAATCTATAATGACCTATTTGGAAATGTTTTCCTTACATTTGGCAACACTTCTATTTTACATGATGCTAGAATAGACTACAGCAAAAACCACTGAGGTTAGAATATTATTGTGTTTCTTAAAAAATTATGATGGAATACTACACAGCAGAAAGAAAGAAGGAGCTCCTACCCTTTGCGAGAACATGGATGGGTCTGGAGAGCATTATGCTCAGTGAAATAAGCCAAGCAGTGAAAGACAAATACCATATGATCTCACCTATAAGTAAGACCTAATCAACAAAACAAACAAGCAAGCAAAATATAACCAGAAACAGTGAATTAAAGAACACACTGACAGTAGCCAGAGGGAAGGTGGGAGGGGATAATAGGGGAAAAAGGGGAAGGGTCATCAAGAAACATCTATGAGGGACACATGGACAAAGCCAAAGGAGGGTAGGATCGAGGGTGGGAGAGGGGGATGGCTGGAGTAGGGGGGAGTGGTGGAGGAGGGAAATAAAGATAACTGTACTTCAACAACAATGGAAAAAAGAACAAAATTATGAAATCATTAAAAAAATTACCTCAACCCTTTTCCTACTCCACCCATGGCCCTCCCCCAGAGATTCTGATAATCTGTCAAGCTTGTCTTTGGGTTAAATCTGAATGAGCATGTTACTAAACCTGTAGAGATATCACCACTTGGAAAATGATGGGTCTTGGCATTTAATCACTGGTACATGATATTTTGTGAAGACAGCTTCCCTTGGTGTGTGCTGACTTCGCTTCCTTCCAGTTGCCTAATAATTCCTGTTAAACCACCAAGTCCAACTGTTCTTGCTTTATTCTTTTGGGAGCCAAGCATAAGGTAGAGAAAAAATAAGGGGAAAAAATTGTATTCCAGGTCCTTTCTTAGCATTTTAATTTAATTCCACAACTGAGTAGCATGTGGTATAAATTGGAGTATCTGTTGACCTGAATTTCTCTGTGGAGAAGTTCCCCTGCCTACTACTTAAGCAGCTGCTAGTGGGTGGAGAGCCCCCTCACTCCCACCCCACTTCCTGCCTGAGAGTTCCCTGGCAGCTTCTTGAGCAGAGGTGTGGGAAAGGAGAGGAGGGGGCCTACTCACCTGTAGCAGCCCAGGCCCGAGGCAGACAGGGTTAGTCCACTACAGCAGATGGTATCTACTCAGTTGAAGTCAATCCTAATTAAAGGAGATTTTTTTTTCCTTTTAAGTTTCAAACAATTGTCTTAATTGCAGTGATATATAGCATTTCAGAAAAGACTGAAAATCTTTGTATTACCCTAGTCTTTGTTTCTGTGTGCTTTCTTTCTATTCTTCCTTGACTGATGGAAGAAAAAAAAAACGATGAGGAATAGGAAGAAATGAAAGAAACACCTTTCAAATGCCCTATCATTATGGAGTATTTAAAACAGCACCCATGGAATCTGCTCACGGAAAATTTGACTTGTTGGACAGGGAGAATTACGAGCTAGAAGAAAATTTTGGAGCTCCTCATCCAATTCCTCCTCATTCCTGTTCATTCCTTCCTCATTTTACCTGTTGGGAAGCTTGTCTTAGAGAAACAATGAGTAAGCAAAGGAATGAACAGGCCTTCAGCTGCATCCTTTATCAAGGCAACCTGTAACCAGAGGGACCCAATGGGACAACCACCAAGGAGCACTCTCAGGAATGAAAATAAGGAGTTATCATAGCACTTCTGCTCATGCCTACTGTTCTTTTCTTTCTCCTCTGCCCTCAACAAGGTTCTACACTGAGGCCAAGTAAGAGCTGTGAATGTTTTGCATGTGTTAAGGCCTTGCTAGAACATGGAAAACACCCTCCTGGCCCAACACGAGAATGCTGCATGTGCATGTGTTCCCAGCTCATTTGCACGTGTGCAGTCTGCGTAAACTGTTTGTGTATGTACTGCCATTTTTTAAGTGGAGAAGAAAGGGGCATTTGTTTGGGATCATTTCTTTTGCATAATCCACTGAACTGAATTCATTGTCAGATATTTACTTAAACAAAGTAAAATCTATGAGGTACATTATAAAATATTTGCAGTATTACTTCATCTTAGCAAAGCAGGAATCATGCTGGTCACGCGTGTCAGCAACTATCAGGATTCAGTAGCTGACCTGAGGTGCTACCTTACAGGCAACACTGATCAAAGCGAAAGTAGTTGCTAATACATAGTTACCCAAGATAAAGGAATGGGACTGTACCTATTGCAAAAAATGATATGAAAGAGATGATGGCATAAGAATAGCAAATTTGGATCTAGTCACTTAAAAATAACTACCCACCACTTTTGGCAATAAACTATTTCTCATGTCTTTTGTCTAGGACCCATTAACTCCAGAGCCTTTCTCCAATGAATAGCGCTTTCTTTTATCCACCAAGGGGATACCCTTTTGTTCATCTGAACCTGGATTGAATTCATCCAAATATTAGGTGTGCTCACTTCAGCATTTGTATGGACAGGAATAATTATTGCTTTCTTCACTCTGGGGCTTTGTAGGTTGTCAAGAAGTGTTGGGGGGTGGGGGTGGAGAAGGGGAAGAGGAGAGGAAAAGGAAGTGAAAAAGAAAGAGGGGAAGAAATTAATTTAATGTCCAATGTATTTTAAAAGCATACTTTTTTAAGAAAAAAGGTTTAATCTAAGTATAAAGGGAATGCATATTTATGTTAGAAAACACCAAAATAACTATGCATTTCTGTGTTACATATAAGCGTATAAATATACTAAAATTATCTAGAGCAACACTGCCCAATAGAAATGCAGCATTAGCCATATTTTGTAGTAGCTATATTAAAATAGGTAAAAATAAACAGATGAAATTAATTTAGTACTATATTTTATTTAACCCAATATACACAAAATATTATCATTTCAACATGCGAGCACTGTAAAAATTATATGAGATAATTTACACTCTATTTGCATACTTAGTCTTTAAATCTCATGTGTATGTTATGCTTACAAGCACACTTGAATTTGTACTAGGACATTTCAAGTTCTGAATAGCTACATGAGGGTAGTGCCATCCTTATAAGAAAATGCAGGTCTAGAGGAATTCATACAAACTTCTCACTGGGTACCTCTGAAAAGGAGATTAAAGTGGGAGAGAGAAAAGCAAGAATTTAAGGGAATATCTTTATATAGTTGAATGTTTAAGATGAGAATGGATTCAGTGTTTTGTGAACTTTTACTCTAAAAAATAACAGTTGCTCATCCTAGAAGATTTCAAAAACAGACCAGTGTAAAGAAAAGTGAGTGACCCAAAAGAAATGTCCCAACAGCTCCACCGTGATCAAGCCTGCCTTCGAGGGGAAGCTTCCCAGCTGGTCTGGGTGGGAATGACTTGCTGGCCTAGCTTGGGATTCACCAAGTTCCTCTTTTGTTGGGGAAGAATAATAGTAGTGGCCATATCAAATGCTGTCATGAGGGTTAGAAGAGGCATGTATGTAAAGCTGTTGATACAGCCCGGTGTATAGTAAGGGTTTAATAAATGTTAGTGGTTATTATTACAACATGCTTTTTATGTGAATTTAAATGTGATGCGATATGCAACGATCTTAACACAGCGCCTGGTACATGGTAGACACCTCACCAAAGACACCTCATCTGTTTCTAAATGCAAGTTGATCTTATAAATCCTTAAGTTTAAGCAGAAAGAAATTTATCCTGAGGTACTGTCCTGATTAACAGTGAGCAGCCCCAGCTGACTCCAATGGAGGCATGAAAACAGCTTACTGAGCAATGGTCAGTCTGTTCTTTAGGTCATTCTCAGCTGCCAGCATGATCCATGGAGCCTGAATTCCTTGTCAAGGCCTAAGGGCTGGCAGCCTAGTTACAGTGCCTATTGACAAGGTCTTTAAACTCAGGTGCAGGTCTGCCAGCATATACAGCAGCAGAAGTGGGAGATGAAACTAAATGTGTCTGAAGTCGCTTTGGAATGAATTCTACCGCAATGAAGATATTCTCCCTCTGGAATAGTTGTATGAGACCAGCGTGGGTTCTTGATCAAGCCTTCATAGTCACTTCACATGGAGGTGTGAACTAAGGTCACTCTCAGCCTTTTCAGTCAATTGCAGCTACCAGCTGTGGTGGAACACTAAATGGATGGGCGGATGAAGGACGATGGCTTGACAACACCTTTAAGAAAGCAAAGCAGTTTACCCAGAGGTTTATTTTACAAGTAGATAACTCCTGTTCTGCCAATACCATGAGTGTTTTAGGTAGCATGTACCCCCTCCTAGATATGAACATCCTGGATGCTACACAGTAATTGTGGATTTTCCTATTTTTGTCAACACGAGGATGTGAGTCATGAATTGGTCCTCTGAACATGAAATTTCCTAAGAAGTTGCTACAGTTGAGAAGGACTCTTCAGTGGAAGACAGGCTAACTCAAGAGTTGTCAGTGTTACACTTACGTCTTAGAGGCGATGGCAGAATGGTGAAATAGGAGCAAAAGGAGTGCCAGACCCAGCATGCCTAGAAGGAAGTTGTGGGATGTAGGCAGATGGCCCTTTAGCCCCATGGGGAGAGTATGGCTGGCAGAGAGCCAGAATGGGGCCCTGTGAAGCATGAGATCCAGGACTGGCCCCTTCTAGCTGGGGTTCAAGGGCATTACTGGCCAAGAACAGAGGCTGCATCTCTTAGGTTCTTGGAGCCCCAAGTGCAGTTCCCATCAGGATTTCCTGGGAATGGCAGGCGCTCTGTACTCTCCAACCTCTGGCTTCTCCCCTCTGTGGTCTAGAACCGATTCTCTAGCCAGTCAAA